TTCCAGGGTCCCTGACCCAGGCAGCCTCCTTCTCTCCACCTTTCAGAGTCTTCTTTTGTTGGTTTTATATAAAATGTCCAAGGATTTTAGCTGTTCTTAGTGGGAAGGATGGAGAATGGTATGTGTCTACCTCATCTTTCAGAAGCAGGATTTTCCTTATCTGTCCATTTAGAACAGTGTTTTATTGAGGTGTTATCATCCATGCAGTAAAATGCAGTCTATGCCTTACCTTTTTTTTATTCTTATTTTTTATTGAAGTGTAGTCAATATACAGTTTTAGTTTCAGGTGTATATGCCTAACCTTTTCATACTCTTAGTGATATCTTTTGATGAACAGAGTCTAATTTAATGAAGTCTAATTTATCAGTTTTTTATGGTTAATGCTGTTTTATGTTCTACTTAAGAAACTATGCCTGTCTCAAGTTCATGAAAATATTCCGTTACTTTTTTTCCTTAGAAGCTCTATTGTTTTACCTTTCATACTTAGGCCTATGATCCATTTTGAATTACTTTTTGTTTCATATGAGGTAAGGGTCAAGGCTCTTTTTTTTTCTCTCCTGAAACATTTGTTGAAAAGACCATCCTTTCCCCACGGATTGCAATGGTGCCTTTGTTGTAAATCAAGTGACTACATTTGCATCGGTCTGTTTGCAGACTGTTATGTTCTGTTGTTCTTGTTTGTCTTTCCTTGTGCCAACATCAACCTGTCTCCTTACCTTACAGTAGGTTTTGGTTTCTCATAGTGTTAAGCCTTCCAACTTTCTTCTTTTACTTCAAGACTATGTTAGCTATTCTGAATTCGTTTATTTTCACCAAAAGTTCCTCTTGGATTGCACTGAATCTATCAATCAATTTAGGGAGAATTGACTTTTTTTTTTAATTGAGGTAAAGTTGATTTACAATATATGTTTTGGGGTACAACATAGTGATTCATAATTTTTAAAGATTATATTCCATTTATAGTTTATTATAGAGTATTGGCTATATTCCCCGTGCTGTGCAATATATCCTTGTAGCTTATTTATTTTAGACATCTTAATTATGTTGTCTTCCTACCCATGAACCTGGTATAGCTCTCCATTTATTTAGGTCTTCTCTGAGCAATCTTTTGCAGTTGTCTTGTACATCATTAGCCTTATTTCTAGGTTTTTGATGTTTTTTGATACTTTTATAAATAATATATATATATCTTTAACATTGTATTACCTGTCCATTTTTTTTTTTAATGGAGGTAGTGGAAATTGAAGCCAGGACCTCATGCATGCTAAGCATACACTCTACTACTAAGCTATTACCCTCTCCCCACCTGTCCTTTTAATAAGATATGTTTATTATTTTCCCAACATCAAATTGAAATTTTATCAAAGAAAATACGTCCATAATCGTGTCACCTAAACAAATCTTCATTTCCCAAGCATTTGCATCCTTTTGTTTTAATGTTTTTATTGTTGAAAAGTTGATATAGAAAATTTGTAAACGAGAGAAGAAAATTACACAAATCGTAAAGACTTTTCAGTTTTACGTATTATTTTCCCATCACTCTCTTGTTTTTGCACTTTTAAAAATTACTGTAGAGATAGTATACATACCATTTTGTATTGTTGAAGTATAAACTGAGGCATTTAAAAAATTTTAAGAGTTTATTTGAGGAAAAAAATCAGCTCCCAAATAGGGCAGCACCAAACCAGAAGTGGGTAGGAGCCCAGTCCAGGAGCTAGGGGAAAGACTTTTATAGAGAAAAGGTGGAAGCAAAGCGAGGAAATCCTTTGACTGGGTATAGTTTAAGGTTGCAGTATTTGGAAAGCCTGGTTGGCCATTTGTGATTGGTTGTCCTTAGGCTTAGATTTCCTAACCTTGAGGGCATTTATAGGTTTTTGTCTGCTTATGTAGGCAGCTAAGTTACAGGAATTACCTCAGCATAATGGCCTCCCTGCCTAATTACTTTAACAGTAATTAAAAATTAATGTTTTGACAAACATTTTCTATATTTCTATAGATTTTATAAATATATTGAAAATAGCTACATAGTGTTCCAGCCTGTTAATCTACCGTAATTTACTTCATATTACCCTGTTGTTTTCCTACCCAAAAAAGGTAAGAATGACAGTGCAAAAAACACAACTGGAGAAGAAAGGAAAAATAGACACACAGAAATAGAAGGAACCTACAGAAACAGATATAGCATATAGAAAACCAAAGTTCTTTCTTGGAGTCATAACCCCACCTTGTGGCATTTTAGGATAGTAAAGCTTAATGTTTTCAATTTAAATCAAAGAACATACCTGGCTTTTTTATGTGGAAGGTTTCTCTCCCCTTGTAACATCAAGATACTTGATATCCTTGTACACTGAAGGTTTTTAAATGGAAAACCAAACGTGGGAAAGTTTAGTTAAACCATGGATCTAGTTTGACGGACACAGGTTTGAGAGACAGGTTCAGTTAGACCATTACATTTTCAGCTTAATTTCAAGTGATCAGTAGCAATGGCTTCTTTAAGTGATTTCAATCAAGTCACAACTGTGTAGCCTAGGAAATAAGTTGCCTTTATGTGAAAATGATTCTGAAGATTTAAAAGGAAAAGTGAAAAAACCTTGGTTAAAGAAAGCCTTACTAGTTAACATGTGGTGGGTAGACCAGCAGTACGGGGTGTCACCTAGGCGCTTGTTAGAAATACAGGTTTGTGAGTCTCCCTGCAGACCTACAGGCTCAGAATCTGAGTCTAACAAGATCACAGGTGATTGCTTGCACATTAAAACTTAAGAAGCATTGAGAGAGAGAACAATATTGGATCCTCTACCTTGACTACATACTAGAACCACGTAGGGATCTTTTACAACTCTGTTGCCTGGGTCCATCCCTGATAAGTAATGGGCAGTAGGGGAAGGAGGATGTGGAATTTTTTCCCCAGCGTTTTCAAAAAAGCTCCCTCGGTTATTTTTAATAGCTGCCAGGGTTGAAAACTGTCGGGAAAAAATATTTTCCTCTACCATTTTAGGTTCAAATAATTGGGGCTTACGTGTTAACTGACGATAGAGTAACAGGAGAAAAGGGAGTTGCTCAGTAATGAGTAACTCTCTGAATAGCCAGAGTAAAGCTACACACCAACCTAACAAAAGGGAAGAGGGTTAAGGCTTCATACTTCAAAGTATAGAAAGTTCTACTGGGCTTCTTGACACTAATAGGCTGCCGGTTCCC